TGCACTTTAGGTGCTTTCCAAAGTCTTTTTTTTCCCCTGAAAGAGAGCAAGGTTCTTTCTAATTACTGTGCATTTTGCACTTTAAGGGGTTCCGACGCCTTGAAATGAAATTTGTAATTTTTTTTTTCGCCAAAAAAAAAAAAAAAAAAAAAAAAAAAAGAAATCTGATCCAATAAGTAATCACTGCAAATTTCTTTCAATTTCTTTTAAGAAACATAAAAAGGATTTGGCCATGCACTTTAAAAGCTTTTTAAAATTAGCCAATCAGTGTAAACTGAACCCATGCACTTCGAATGTTTCAGAAGCCGAATTTCAAGTCCATTTGAGTTCATTTGAAGAAACGACCAATCGCAGTCACGTGCATTCGGCACTTGAACTGAAGTCGATTTACCGTTTTTTATCTTCATTGACTACAGTATGTTAATTCTTGGGAGCTCGAAAAGAAAAAGAAAAAAGAAAAAAATAAGAAAGAAAGAAGACAAGAAAGAAAAGAAAAATATTTCCGTGTCTGAAGGCGGGGCTTAGAGAGATTTTWACAGATAATTGTGACAGAAAGCAATATAATGTTTATAATATGAAATATATAGATGTATAAAATGTAATGCCAATATATATAAATAGACGCAGGGACACGTTTATWTTATAGTCTAGCGGGCCATAATCTTGACACTCAAATGGTTTTCCCATTCTAATCTTAGCAAAGTCTCTTTAGATCGGAATCAGCCCGCCAGACTGAAAGCCTTCATATCAGACATGTCAGTTCGAAACGTCAACTTAAAATCTCTTTACTTTGATGCTCAGTCACAACCGAAGGATCTCGGTCGCTTTCGTAGCTTTTATCTATGTTTGTTCTTCATTTTTTCTCTGCTCGAAGAGATCATAAGAGCAGAGGTATTATCAGGGGATGTTATCCAAGGGTTTATCGTTTACTGTAAAGGCTTCCTTGCTCAATTTAAGGGCTTTTTTGCACTTCGAGGGGTTTCTTACATTTTAATGGCTTTTCCTCGCACTTCGAGAGTTCCCTCGTAATTTAAGGGTTTTTCCGCTCCGAGGTTCCCGGTTTCTTTAGTGGCTTTCTGCCAATACTTCAAGTGTTCCTGCGCACTTTAAGGGCATTCTTATACTAGTTCCCCGCGTTGCACTTTGAGGGCTTTTTTTATATTCCTTAGGTTTTCTCATGCATTAAGAACATTCTTTTCTCGTGCGCTTTGAGGACGATGTTATTCCTCGCGCGCCGGGACTCATTAAGGGCGGCTTATAYACTTCAAGGGGCTTCAGTGGAGCACTATAATGGCTTCCTTAACGAACATAAATAAAAGAGTTTGACGCACAGGTGCTGCAAATAAGACAAAACCTCATTTTACATATAAAACTCGTCTCTTRTTTCTAGTTATCATGTCAGGGTACCTTTATAACTAATGGCTAGACAAACACTAAAAAATACGTCTTGAACACAACCCGAGAATATTCTATAAATAGAAGGGAAATGGAAGAATTGTGTGTATGTTCTTGAGGCAGATGTTTCGAAGAAAGCMTGTTATTTGTTGGTCAATTGTCTTTTTTCCCCAATTTGAATGAGGAACAAATGAGATGTAGTCGAAAATTCTCGACAAACAAAAAAACGAAACAGAAGAAAATTCGTAAAGTGATTCTTAAAAGCAAAATCTTTGAAAATAAATTATTTTTTTAAAAGATTTATGATTCATAGAATACTTCTTATAAAGAAATAATAGTATATATCAACTTATTAATAATGATTACATAATAAACTTTATTTATAAAGCGCCTTTTCCTATGAAGCCTAAAAGCACTTTATAATGTTTCAATGAAGATATAGAAATATAGATAAGTTATAGTGCTAGGGAACGAGGTTATTGCGGGCAAAAGCCCTTGGAATTAAATTCGGAAAAATTAATTTCCGACCTCGCTGGGAAACACTATATAATGTTTCAATGTAATCTAAATTTACTAAAAACTAAGAAAATACTTATACTAATAAAAATATATAAAATTATTCTRCTTAAGAATATTTACTACCCAGCTATGCTTGCAGAGGTTCTTCTCTCTCTCTCTCTCTCAAGGCTGCTCGTGCTACGCAGGTAGACGAGCTATAGTTGTGAAATCCTATATATAGAAAATGTAAGGGAGATCGTAAAATGTCCTCTTTCGAAAAATAAATCTCATAACTTTTATACCTCCTAAAATCGCCTTCAACTACAATCAAACCGCTGGGAAACCACACAGTATGCAATATGAAACGTTTTAGAAAGTTAGAAAAAATGATGAAGTGCGATTTCGTAACTATAGCTTGGGCTACCTGCGCTTGCTAGAGTTTTGCAACTTTTTATCATTTTGATGCAAGGAAGCCGCACTTGTCAATCAAACATTTTGTTTAGCCTAATCTTTGGATGTCCCACGCTGTCCGTCGTCCTCCATTGTTCTTGTTAATTTAAAACACAAAGAACTAMATCAACTATTATGTCTTCGTCTTTTTGTTGTCTAGCAACCGTAGTCAATATTTTCGTCCTCGAATAAGATTCGTAACACTAACAGATTTTTCTAGAATTAATTGTTGACGCGAGAGAATTTGTTAAGGAAATAAGACGAAAGTTATTTCAGAGTTGTTTTTAACATTATCATTTTGTTGTATAAATATATTTCAATTTATGTAATAATGTTTTGAAATAAGCTGGAGAATGAATTCTTGAAAGAAAAAAARTTTCACCTGAAAGATACGTCTTAATCAAATTTTGGGTTTGGGGTAGCTGTGTATAATTTGCAAATAAAAGAGACTAGTAATGAATTGAATTAGAAGGGTGGGGAAGGAGAAGGTTCATATTACACAAACTTCCCTACCCTACCCTACCCTAYCCTAGGAGCTAGAAGTTCTTCAAGGCTTCGAATTCAAGGCTTATTTAACTTTCATTTTCGATCAAAAAAGTCGCCACTTTTTCTCAAACACTAATAAACACTTTCAATAAGTTGTACCCTAAAAATATGCCGTTAAATGATTCTTGAAATTGAATTTTCTGTTTACAATATTGTGGTATACAAATCCAGCTGTTAACGAATAAGCAACTTTTCATATTTTCTTTAGATTATTCTTTGAATTTTTAGTCATTAAATATTGAATGCTTCATTTGATTCGTATTTCTCCACACATCATTTRATATAGATTTTTCCTTTAAGACGGACDCGATTACACGCAGCAATTTTCTCTGCAACTYGTCTCGCAACGGCGTTCAAATAAGACGTTTTTTTACAGTAAATTGAACAAGCTGAAATAACTGTTTAAAATATGAATACTTGTGAGTCTTTTAGAACCTGGATCAGGTGTAGCTCAGTTCCAAATCTCTCTAATCCTTCACATTTAAATACTCTTAAAACAGAGCACTGATGGAGAGTGGGGGTAAAGTGCGCATCGTCACCG